TTTGGAGTTATTGATTACCCCAATCAGTGTAGTTTTGATTAGTGGGAACAAACTGGTTTCACTGGATTAACACACAAGGAGACCTTCCAAACTCTAGTTGGTGAATTGGACCCAGGACCATCTTGCTGTGACACAAGCAGCTGCACCAATACAAAGTTGTCTGGTTCCCAAAGCTGGCCCTTTCCCACTACTGGCCCTGTTCCAGTCTTCTCCTCCACCCCCTGATCTGCCAGCCAGTACGTGTTGTCGATCACGCACAAGTCCCGCAGCTGATGAAATGTTTGGAATACTTGAATCAAATAGAATATAGCGGGATGAAGAGAGGCCCGCTGGACACTCCCTCTGGACAGTTGGAACATGGAGCCACAGGGGGCCACTGGGGTAAATACCTCTGTCCCTGATTTCATCTCCTCCCTGGGCCCTTTGTCAGTGATTCACCTGCTCAACAAATTTCCAGAAGGATCTTTGCCAACATGAGAGACAAAAGGGATGTTTCCCTTCATACACTGATGCTGAAGTACTGACTGAGAGTGTGCTGCAGGTAGAGCAGGATTTACCTTCACAGCATGGAGAACACAGAAACCACTGACTGGAGGACCAGATCTGGGGTGGCAGCTGGGATATGAGACATGGCTGAATGCTTAATCAGCTTTCCTGTATTCAAGGATAATATTTTACAATCCAGATGCTGTGTGGCTCCATTGTCTGTTAACAGACGTATTTCCTGACACAACAGCAAACAAACGGGGCATCCTTCCAAAATATCTTCATATTAAAAGAGACTGATGGACTCCTTTTGCGTTGTTCCCTGCAGTTTTCTACCTGTCACCTGTTATCTGATAGGACAGACATCAGAGTTAGAGCGAGCTTTGTCTCACGTTCATAAATGCTCTTTGTCTGGATTTGTTTGGGCCCTGCAGTCTATTGGCTCATTCATGTGCCAGAAGCAGTGGGTGGCTTGTGAAGGATTAGTCTGTGCCTCTGCTACAAAATACTGATGTGAGGTCCTGACACAGCAACTCTGCCCTGATTATTTCCTAAGGACTTCTTTGTATTTCACACAATGGCCGTCTTTGGTGTCTGCCTTGGTCGCTGGCCCAGACATCAGTCAGGAAAGCCCCATCTGCAAGGAGCATCGCTGCGTGCTTCTGAGACACCCTCAGCCTAAAAACACCAAAAACACATTTCTTTTTTGTGTTAGAACGTGTTTTACTCATGGGACGTCACACGGTTCAGGGAAGTGTTGCTGCTCCGATGTCCTGCTCAGCTAGAAAATCCTCCTGGCTGACTGCCCCAGGAAATAACTCCAAAGATCCTAACTGAAGTCCTCTGCCTTTGCTCTGCACAACACATGAGCTGTCCCATTCCCATTTCCGCTTACACATACTTCATTGTGTTCTCTGCCGGCTCTGCAGGATCAGGGTCCCAAAAGCCAAACTCTGCACATGCGCCCTAAACAAGTCTCTGCCAACGACGCCTTTTGGATGGATTTTTGGAAAACGGGCTGAGGTTTGACTAAATTAAACAGACATCATCTAAGTCTTCCTCCTGATCATTTTACTGGATAAGACATTAGCCCGCTGCAGAACAAAGGCTGCTCCTTTGATGCTAGCCTCCTCTGGGGTGAAGTCCTTCATTTCCTGTTTACAGTTTGACTCAGATGGGTCTTTAGCTCCAAACTGACCCACTCTAAATGTTTCTGTTGCGATTCCACACAGCAAATTAAATCAACCTCATTCTCTCAGATTCACTGAGATCAGCTGGTTTACATACTTGTGTGTTGTATAGCATACAGGAAGTAACGAGAATAAATATTTGAATTCTGCTCATCCCTCTTGAGTGTAGAACGGCTCACACAGCACATTCACCAACATGTCTGCCAGTTCTGTGTCCACGCACGCGGCCTCTTTTTGATTTGACACCTTTCCCTGCACACAGTGGCAAGGATTATCAAGAAAACGTGTTTGCTGTTCATGTCATACTAAAACAGATCTCCAAACCTCGGTTCACTTCCTTCCTTCCATTCTTCTTCTTCCTCTAAGCCCCACTAAACACCAGGAAGGCCGTCTCTCTCTCTCTTCTTTCAAATCACTGCTAAAAACCCACTTCTTCAAATTGGCCTTCCCCTAATACGAACCCAGTTTTGTTCATTATTTAACATTTTGTTTCATGATGTGTTCATTGCCTTTTCGTGAAGTGTCTGAGAGACCTAAAAAGCACTATATACGTTTGATGTATTATTATTGTTATTATAAACCCATGTGTGTTCTCCTACAACTACGGCAAGCCTCGGGGACAACAGACATCAGCGACTAAAGTATTCTGGGTTTTAGGACTCGAAGGTCTGGTGTGTTGCTATGACACACACAGTGTGCGCCTGGCTCAATAGTGAAAGAGGAGAGAGGGGAACAAAAGGAGACTTGTCTCTTCTGTATTGGAGCAAACTGATTGGTGTAGCGTTAAACCTTCAGAGTTTTGTTTGAGCCTGCTGTAGCGTTAGCAGGGGTATGCTGCCTGTTTTAGATGTTCTCCTGCTTCCACGCTGCATATTTGATTGAAACGAGTCATTAGCAGCTCCTGCAGAACACGAGGAACAGGGGCGCCTCCAGAAAAATTTGACAGGGGTGGCCAGATGGGGCCAAAGAAATTTTTGGTGTGGCACACCAAATTGGTCCTTGTGGTAACTGTGGGAGAATTTAGCCTGTGGCGATGTGTAGCATTGCTCCTTTATTCGTTTTATTTTAGAAAACAGTACGTTTCCAAAACATTAAACTTACATTTTACAAACACAAACATTTCAGAAAAATACATTTAGTTATATAAAATGTTGTTTCAAATGTAATTTTAAAATGTATTATTTTTCAGTTTATTTAACCCGTTGCTGTGTTCACAAAAAACTATGAAGAAAAACTTTTTTTAAATGGTGAGCAGCAGAAACATATGTATTTTTTTAATTCTCATTATTTCTTTACTCGTTAATTGTATTATTTTTATTTTGATTTACAATTATGTCTTCAATAAATACGATTAATTTACGGTTTGAGTGAACATTAATATGATTTATTAACACTGCCCTTTGGGGGGGGGCAGCAATTTTCTATGGGTGGCCATGGCCACCCCTGGCCACCCCTTGGGGGAGCCATCGATGAGGAATTGGATTGGATAGGGAAATAACTCAGCAGTTAGAATCAGGTGTGAATGAGCAGCAACATGCGGATACAATGTCCCTCCATTAGCGCTACAATGTTAGCATGCGTGGTGTGAGGTTAGGGTTATGATGTTCAGTTCCTTCCAGAAGAGGAGGTGGAGCTATAATCTTCTCCTACTCTCCTTGATGATGGCATGCTACAAACCACAGCTTTAGCATTTAGCTAGGTGGTTGGCTGTTGTTTTTTTTATCATCCACCACCAAGAAGATAGAGATTCCTGTTCTTACGTGTCTGTGGGTTCATTTTCCAGCTACTGTTCTCACAAACCACTGAAAGGTTTATAATGAGTAACCACTGGATGAGCGTCTACAACTCAAACCCACTCAAGATGGCCACCATAGCTAATCAACATTAGCAAATGCTAAATGCTCAATTCTACAGATGTTTAGCTAGTATCAGATCTAAACCTGCCAACATGTCATCGGGCTCTCAGAGTTCAGGTCTGGTTCTAAAAGGCTTCTGTTGCTTCCATACCAGCCCGATCAGGGCTGGGGGGCGTCGGGTCCCGCACAGGTTGGGTTTCTTCACGCACGCTTCTCATGAACATGGAAATCTCTGAGCATGTGGGCGAGGCAAAAGATGCAGGAAAAAGTCTGTGGTGTCTCCCTTAAATCAAACAAAGGTGGCCGTGAGCAGTGTTGCTTTTGGAGACTCTGATATTGCATCCAGTGCCCTCCAGACAGACTGCTTCAGTCAGGTGTTAACTCCACAGTATTCAGAATGATAATAAATTATGTATATGGGAAGCCCTCGCTGGCTGATTCTACCCACCAATTGGAGGCCCCCCCTATTGGTTGGTGTGATATTGACCCAGCCAATCAGTCGGCAGCGGGTGTGTTGGGACATTTTAAACTGAAGTGGACCACCTTGGGAACGGGGCTGAAAACAATCACTGGTAGAGCACAGAAAAAACCCAGGCTTTCCAGATGTGAACACTATCTACCATACCTGGGAGGAGTGGATGTGGAAGCAGCCATAGTTTGCTGGAGGACATGCTGGCTCTGGCTCCTGAAATGACTAGATCTAGGATGGGTTGTGGCAGAGCTGAGTAGGCGACCCATGCATCAAAGAGAAGGCCCGTCTTTAGACTTCACTGATGCGGCGTCTTTAATGCTTTGCATGCTGATCACTGAGAGGACACGGTGGTACATGATGTGCACTGCATAAACAGAAGGCCCCACTGATGTGAACTGAGTGACAGCTTTGTGTTGACCCTGAGGTTCTGGGACTTAGGCAGCATAGGTCGTGTGAATTGTCAGCATTCATCAGTGCAGCTCATCAGAATGGGACTTCCCTGCTGCAACAGCATGCAGCCGTTTCTCCACTGGCCATAGTTTGTCTGTGCTCAAAGCCTTAGTTTCATTTCCCAGCTGAATTAAAACACACCTCTCAACTACAAAACACTCCCAGCTTGTTTTATAAAGGACAGATTTAAGTCAAAATAAAACCAAATGTACTGACTCAGAGGTACCACGCCCTCTGTTCAACTGTGGCTCTTTTTCTGTCTGCTTCTGCAATCGGAACATTTTGAATCTGCCAAGATGCATCCTTGCCTTCATTATTATTGTTATCATTACCCCAGGCTGCTCAGTGTGTATTTTTAGGATGGCGATCAAGCAGAATGCTGAGATCTTAACCTCAGAACCAAACAGCTCATGAGAACTTTGCTGGCCTAAAGGCAGAAGATCTGACTCACTGACTCTTTAACACAGAAGAGACAAAAAGAGAAGCAGCATCAACCCAAAATGTTCACTGGGTCTGACCCTTGGCACAGCTCGCATCGCAGCACTCTCTTATAACAGAAACTTTATTTCATGGCACAAGCACACACGTTTTCTCCCAGCGCTACACTTTCTGGCTAAATTTCTTTTTGACATGACTCAGAAATATGTTTAAAAAATCCTCCGGATATTTAAAAAAGAGCAAATACTGTATGTTTATTTTGCTGACTCACGTCGAAACCAGAAGCGATCTAATGTATGTAAGAGTAAAAGCTTCTGATTCTCTCTTGAGCGTGAACAAGGAAGCAAACAACTAGCTAGACATGGACTGGTCCCAAATGTTCAAATGCTCCTTTGTAACACATGCAGTGGTCATTCAAATGGTATTAATGTGCTGCAAAAGTAATAAAAAACTCATTTTAAACAAGAATAATGCATTGATTTACAGAAATAAAACTGTTGTGTACACAGGTAAAACATTTTTACAATATATTCATTAGAGCCCTAAAAACAAAATCAGTGATGAAAGAGAGTAACGCGAGGCTGGGTCGCTGCAGACAGGATGGAGAGATAGTAGAGCTCCTTTCTCAGAAGCCAGCCTCTAAGTGGTAGGCTGGTGATTGGTCCAGGTGTGGCCCCGCCTCTCACCTGATGACTGCTGGAGATGAACACCAGCTCGCTGAGAGCCTGGACTACACTTGAAGCAAAGCTGTGAGGGTCTGTTTAACATTTCTATGGCCTACTCTAACAGGACATCTATTGCAGGGTACACCAACTCCATGCCTCCAGAGCTACCATCCAACAGGTCTTCCATGGTTCCTGCTCCAGCACACCTAAAGACAATGGTTGGATCACCTCCTCACCTTGTTGAGTTTGATGGAGCCCTGTTGTTGATCACTAATTCCTTTGAAGTTCACTGAGAAACGGTTTTATACTTGTTGTTTGGGGAATTAACACGCAGCCTGAATGTGAAAATAGTCTTTGACCCCAACATTTGCCGCTGACAGACGAGGAGATGCTTGGTTTAGAAAAGCCTCTAAGATCAAAATCACACTGGAAATTTGCGTTCCTGGATTCGCCCATTTTGGCTCACGACGGGGACGGTTGTTGCTGGAGAGAGCAGAGAACGTCCTGACTAGTAGAAGCTAAACATTAGCATTAGCGACTAAACAACGGGGCAAACTCCTTCAGGCTTGAGTTATTTGTGGAGATAAAACATCAGCGTTGCAAAGCAACTGGAGTCAGTGGTAGAGTCATGTTGCCGTTAGCCAATCAGAGGAGAGATGTCCGAATATCAGGAAACAAGACTCCAAATCCTGCCGTCTGAAGCTGACCTCTCCTCTGGCTCAGTTTCCTGAAATAGGAGTGTGAGAGCTTTCCCCCTTCAGAGACCGACTCAGAAGGCATTCATTGATACTAGAGACCATAGCAAATCTGATGAAAAAACATTGTGAACTTGGTCTTTAAATGTGTTGGAGCTCAGCTCAGACCTGCGGTATGGTCGCCCTCGGACACCGGATCATCCTGTCAGCACCAGCAGGATGGTAATGAGATGGTCCAAATGAAACCTGAAAAATCTTTGTTTTTTTTTCAGTGTTTTCTTATTTAAATTTTTATGTGAATTTTAATTATCAATGTATTGTCTGCCTGCCAACAGAAATCCGTTAATGTCACAAAAATTATTTTCTTTAAGTTCAACTCAACCTGTGAGATTACTTCAGTTATTCTTGTCCATTTTATGATCAATGTACAATCATATTTCAAAACAAAAGCAAACATGTTCATTACAGCTAATTGAATGGCATGCGTTGGTACTAGAAAGCTGGTTGGCTGCTTAAAGGCTGGCAAATACTGAGAATGCTCTCATTGGGTACCTTACTGGGTGAGAGCTCTGTAGCAAGAGGTAACTGTTCATTCGTCAACAAAGTTCACCTGATAGGTTAGCTGATGGCCATTGTCCCAGGCATACAAAAGCTTTTCCTTGGGATTGTAGTCTATCTGGGTGGTAAACGAGTACTCGTTGGTGAAAGGCAAGCGTGGGATTGCTTCAGTATTTGTGTGGGTGTCATATGCAAAGTTCACTTCACCTTCTTTCTGGTTGTACACATCAACGGCATACAAGACACCACAGATAATGAAGCAGTTTCCATAAGACTTCCTCTTGAGGCTTGTCCTGTAGGTCGTTTCCTTTTTCAAGGACAGGTCGCCAGGATCCAGTTTACTGATCACAATCACCTCTTGCTGGCTGTAGTCGTAGTCCGTGGATGGGTAGATCACCCACAGGCCACTTTCATCTACTGCAAAGTCAATGTCCGAGTGGCCTCTCCACTTCCACGGGGTGGTGTCCTCGTAAACCACGTCATGAAGAAGGGTCCAGGCTGCAACATATCTCATTCTGAGATCGTATTTGATGATGTTCTTGGTGAATGCCCGGTTGTAGTAGAACGCTCCATTGTAAACCACGTGACCGGTTCCAATCCAGTTGTAAGGCAGTTTGTAGAGGTTGCTCCAGCGCCCTAGGATGAACAATGGTACAAATTTAAATTATGCTTTTTTAGAACAACCTACCAGTGATACATCATTTGTATTTCACTCAAAGGAACAACATGACACTTGAGATGTGGTTTGTATGGGTATCATCTCCTCCGACTGAGAACGGTATTGCAGCTTTCTCACGTCGTCTCTCCACTGCTAGGGGGAGTTGCTAATGCTTCCTTCTTTCATTTTCACTCTCTCTCTTTCTTTGCATTTTTTATCACAACTGTCTAATTTAGCTTATTTTAAAGACATTTTAAATCATTTTTTAAAATCTTTTTTAAATTTAAAATATTTTGTTTTTGTGAAGCACCTCATGATTTTTATCTTGAGAGGTGCTATAGAAAAGATTGTTTTCTTTCATCCATCCATCTTCTGAACCCGCTTTGTCTGTGTGGGGTTGGGGGGGGGGGGGCTGGTGCCTATCTCCAGGGGTCAATGGGCAAACAGGCGGGGTACACCCTGGACAGAGAGCCAGTCCATTGCAGGGCAACACAGAGACACACAGGACAAACAATCATGCACACACACATAAGCCGGAGTACCCGGAGAGAACCCACACATGCACAGGGAGAACATGCAAACTCCATGCAGAAAGATCCCAGGCCAGGAATCGAACCCAGGACCTTCTTGCTACAAGGCAACAGCTCTAACCACTGCGCAGCCCTCTTTCTTTCTTTCTTTCTTTCTTTCTTTCTTTCTTTCTTTCTTTCTTTCTTTCTTTCTTGGCATGCTGCCTCCTTAACGTGTTGTTGGTAGGCTGTCCCCACAGGGTAAGAGCTGCACAATCAACACGATGTAAAACAACCAAACACCTCTTTAAAAAGATCTATGGGCACAGCTACTCATTCTAAACGGGCTGTGTGTCCACTCAACTGGTAATGTCCATTCCCAGCACCGAAATACCTGAAACATGCTAAAGAGTAGGGCTGACATTAATAATTTGATTAAACTGACACTAAAAAATGTTTGATTTATATTTTGAAAATCATTGTTTTTTTTAGTCATTCCCGAGTTGTATGATATCTTTCTGGTGTGATTTTGTGGTTAGGTGACTCTACACACACACACACACACACACACACACACACACACACACACACACACACACACACACACACACACACACACACACACACACACACACACGCACGCACGCACGCACGCACGCACACACACACACACGCACCTGTTTTGCAGCTCCAACAAGTCATGCAGTTAGCAGAGTAAGCAACAGGGTGAAGTGATGACCACACCCAAAGAAAATGCCAGAAAGTTCCCGAAGAGCAGGAATATTTCCATCTCAAGCTGATGGACAAGACTGCTAACTAGTGTAAGTCTAGTTAGCATAACTCTTTTTAGCCTTGGCCTCCAAAATGCTTTGGAACAGCCCTGGGTGTGGGGCTGAGTTTTGAAGGTGATCTAAAATAGTATCAAATATATTACATGCTTATAAATTATTATTTTATATAGTTATTAGTGGGGATAATTCTACATACTTTATCTTTTCCAAGCAAAAGGGTTTGTTTTCTTGTTTTGATTTGACTCTTATCCAGTCCTTTCTGTCTGTCTCTGAGCTTCCTGCATTTTCTCTCAAAGCTTTAGTAAAAACTGCTGCCTGGCTTCCTACCTTTTCACCTCACGAGTTAAGTTTGAACCAATCAGATCAAAATAATCTACCGACTACAAAAATAGCAGAGTGCGCACTGCGCTAGTGAGGTAAATCACTGGAGCACGGGTTTTGAGCTCCGCTGCAGCACAGCTGATCAGGTACATAAGACAGAAAAAAAGTACCAGAGAGTATGAGCGTACATCATGGTCACATGTTGATATTCTACGTGCTGACGCCAGCCTGGAACAAACACACCGGCCCTAGAGAACGCTGGCCGTTCTGAGGTTCTCCAGAACTCACAGATGGCCAGTCTGCCTCTGCACACCACATAGAAATATCTGAGAATGTGGAAGTATCAGGTCAATGTTGGCCTAATTAAACTTCCAGGTGAGCCGGGCCTAAGTTGAGTTGGAAGTTGGATACTTCAGTAAAGAGGATCTGTTTAAGGCATAGCTAGATCACCATGGTAACAGAGACTTAATTGTGACAAAGGCAGTTTACAGAAGCGGTTGTTTACTAGCCTATAAATCTAAACAGACAGAAGCAGAAGCAAAAGGATTTTGCTCGGCATGTCGGTCTAGCCACGCTCCACTGTAGCCTCATCAGGTCTACAATTGGTCTGAGCAGTCTCGTGACTTGTAAATCACAGCGCTTTGTCGATTTGGTGGGCGGGATTAGCACCAGAGCTGCGACTGATATCTGTAGTGGTGAGTACATCACAGTGTTCGTTGTCCAGTAGCATGTGGGACAGTTTGAAAGACAATTGTAGATCCCGCCCCATGACTGAGATCTGTCTGTGGGTCGTGGCTAGACAATTTATTCGCATGTATAGGATGGCTTGCCAGGCTAGTTCGTTACAATCCCCGGGTAGGAAAAAAAAAACAAGATTTAAATGTTGTCATAGTTAGAGTTAGGGTTAGGTCTAAACTCCACCGTCATCCTCTGAACACAGCACCGAGCTTTATCCATGCTGCTCTCGAGTCTGTCAGTTCTGATCCAAACTGAAAATCACCCCGTTTAATCAGAACTCACATGATTTTCAGCTTCACAAACATATGTGGAAATTTAAATCCACTCCGAGTCCCTGGGAGTGGATTTAAAAAAATCAGAAGTACAGACGAAACAGTTAATAAACCCTCAGAGTTTTAGTTTAAACTGGTGATTTTTATCGTTAGCCTGTTAGTGTTCTAATATCAGACTTAATGCATTAGAGCCCTGAACATCAGATTTAAGGAACATTGATTTATGTGATCAGTAAAGTGATTAATGAGACAGAATCAGTTTAAGAGATTTATTCTTTTTGTCTCTCTCTCCTGTAACTTTGTACAATCAGTGAATTTAGAGCAGTAAAAACATTAAATGTGTTTTTATGTGAGACTCAAGCTGAAATCCTGAGTTAGAAAACCTTCTTAATCATTGTCAGAGCAAGGTGGGGTTTCAGGTTTTCGTCGGACAAGAAGCAGAATGCTTGTGCTTCGTACTAGAGCCACCAGGACTAGGCACCACTGGTGCTGTTGATCAGACAGGATTATTCTAACCCTAACTCCAAAGACCCTTTGGGAAAAACTGGTGTTTAGAGCTGGCTTGTCCCTGTCCAGGGTTTCTGTCTGCTAAAATGGACAGACTGTGATGGGTAAGGTCCTTATTATGAAGAAAATCACTCCCTTCTGAACAAGAGATACGTTTTGTTTTACTTCCTGAGTTGCAAACATGGAGTTGCTCTTGCTAAGCCGGAGTTTTGACAGTGCCAGACTGTATGCGCACTAGCTTAACATGACAGCAGTACAGTTTGTGTAGGATTTTCTCCCGAGCAAACAGACTTTGTACATGCTACCTGTTATCTTAACCCTCCAATCTCAGGAAGTCTGATGTTGATACTGAAAAAACAAAACAACGCTGAAGCCCTTCCATCTCACATACCCCCCTACTCACACACACACCCCCACTAGCTGCTCTCCTAATCCTCCTCTGCTGTCCTCGGGTCAAAGGAAAGGCCAAAGCACATGTCAAGGAGCGGCAAGTATCACTGCCGTCCTCAGAGAGCTGTGAGCTAGCTGCACCACACGACACCTCACATGGAGCTGCACTTGGTAAGCCCACTGTCCAAACACGTCTAGATCAACAAGCCCAGTCCAACAAGTACAGCTCATCTGGACTATGGTCAAGAATGTAATTCAATTCCTCAGCTGATTTAGATGTGGAGGGCATGACCCCCCTCCCCCCACTCCAACAACAGAGCAGTCTCACACTTCTCCTCCATCTCACGGAGCTGATGAGTGATCAGAGCCACTGATGTTATTGACGTGTGTGTGTTTCTTATCAAGGTGATAAGAAAGTCCGACAAATGATTCCTAGGCACACATCAGGAGTCATAGTGAGGACTCCAGAAGATGTGATGAAGAAAACAAAGCTCCTAGCCTATTTAGACATGACATAGGGCTTATATGTCCACGATGATGTATGTTACACGTTGGTACAGGCGTGGACCTAACGGTAATTAATGTAATTTAACGTTTCATCGCTGGCTGAGATGTATCTGTGTTGGTTTTACAGGAAGCCTTGGATAAAGGGTGAGAATAGAGTTATAGAGTTGGCTTACAAAGGCTTAGGGCTGTTATTGTAACTGGATCTGATATGAGCAGACACCACTCTGCTTTCCTTACATTCACATTAACATGCTTGTGTGTTGGTACCGGGCAAAAGCACGGAGAGAATCCACAATCTGCTCTGCAAGTCCGTGGTTTGAGTCCATGGACGTTTACTACATAAGTATTCATGTTTCCTAAATGTTCCGAAGCAATACGAAATACAGCCCAGCACCTACACAGTACTTACAAAGTACTTATGAAGTAGAAGAAGAAGAAGAAGAAAATATCATTTCTATAGCGCCTCTCAAGATAAAAATCACGAGGTGCTTCACAAAAACAAAAACAAAAAATATAAAAAATTGTAAAAAATATAAAAAAGCATTTAGAAAATGTTTAAAAATATATTTAAAATGAGCAAAAATAAGCAATTGCGATTTAAAAGAAAAAATGTTAAGAAAGAGAGAGAGTGAATAGGAAAGAGGGAAATCAGTGGATCCTGAGGAAGGTGGAATAGGTGGGGAGAGCAGAATAAAGAGAGAGTGGGGAAGAAGGTCATACAAAAGCCAGCTTGAACAAGTGAGTCTTCAGCTGCTTTTTAAAGGAGACCACTGAGTCCACTGATCTCAGGCTCAGGGGGAGAGAGGTCCAGAGTCTGGGGGCCACAGCAGCAGATGATCTGTCTCCTTTGGTCTTTAGCCTGGTGCTGCACAAGCAGTAGGCTTTGGTCACTGGACCTCAGGGACCTGCTGGGGGTGTAGGGACTAAGAAGATCACCAATGTAAGATGGTGCTTGTCCATGTAAGGCCCTATAGACCAGAACCAGGATCTTGAAATGAACCCTGAAGTTGACTGGCAGCCAGTGAAGCTGGAGGAGAAGCGGGGTGATGTGGGTGTGTTTGGAGGACTTGGTCAGAAGCCGAGCACAGGCATTCTGAACCACCTGTAGACGGTTCAGGGAGGTTCTGCTCAGACACGTGAAAAGAGAGTTACAGTAGTCTAAGCGTGAGGAGATGAAGGTGTGGACAACTGTCTCAAGTTCAGAGCGGGACAGAATGGGACTCAGCTTAGCAACGTTCCTGAGATGGAAGAAGGAAGAGCGAACAAGAGAACTGACATGAGAATCCAGGGTGAGAGCTGGGTCAAAGGTCACACCAAGATTCCTGACGGAAGGTTTGGTGTGGGAAGCAAGCTGACCAAGAGAGTCTCTGACTTTGGGAACCAGCTTGTCTGGGGCACAGATGAGGATCTCAGTCTTATCTTCATTCAGCTGTAGAAAGCTCCCAGCCATCCAGGCTTTGATAGAGTCTAAGCAGGTGTGTGACAGCTGCAGCTTAGACATCTCATGGGGCTTAAAGGAGATGTACAGTTGGATGTCATCTGCATAAAGTACACAGATGGTACCTGCAGGGTACTTACTCGGGGCCTTTAGCGCGGCCAGGTGACGCCTCCTTTAGGCGCACAGGAAGTGTGGGTGGAGTGACTCCAGCAGGGGTGACTTACTCTTTAAATATCTTCGTTTGTTAAATACTGCTGTTAAAGTTTTTAGACCAAAACATTGTGACTGGCCTGTGGTCCAGTTCCTCTCATCAGGAGACGAGCCACACGATCAGACCATGACGACTATTTCTGCTCTTACTGAAGGAGGAACAGTTTCCATCCAGGTAAAAGGCTGTCACGATGGATGAGTAAATAAACAGATAAATCACTGCATACATCATTTATTTCCATTTGTTTTGTCTGTTTAGCAGGTCGACTCTTTAATAAACAACTCAAGAAAATCTCCTTAGTTAAAAAACAAAGTTAAACTATTTCAAATCCACAAAAATAATCATTTGACTCAAAATAACGGAATAAGGCATGTTTTGTTGTGTTTTCAGGGATAATTTAAGATTAGGATTGATCTGTGATCATCATCAATACTAAAGCTAAAATATAATATACGGTATAGATGATTAAGCAAACTTATTTTATTCTGAAAACACACTTTCTACTGTCTTGTATTGTTTCCATGGCAACCTCTATATTCCCAACACGGCGGGTGTAAGGTGTCCCCCTTTTTTTGTCCCTCGAGTGTCACAGTGAGCTCAAGTTTACTTCCTAAGACAAATAGTTACTACACACTGACTACATGACAGTCCCATCAGAACTAAACGTGTTATTACACGGGAATACGACACACACCTTGTTTGAAGTTGTCCAGATTGCGAAACTCCACAAGGTTGTTGCCATAGTAATAGTTAGTCACATAGATCTTGGAGTCCTTGGCAAGAGGATCCTTCATCCAGGCTCCCTCGTTGCGCCCATAACTGTGTTGCTTGACGGGCTGCTCGATGGACGCCAGCGTTCCTTCACAGTTTAGGATCTTCCCTAGAAGAGAGCAGAACCTTCAAACCACACGTCTGGGAAAGCCGCACCTGTTGGACGTCGCGCCCATACCTGCTCTGTGGAGACTGGGTCGGCTGTTGTTGTTAGAGTTGTCTAGAACCAGTATGATGGTTGGAGCTGGTCTTTCAGAGGCTGGTGGGCTTTGGGTGGTGGCGGGTCTGGTAGTGGTTGTGGTTCCGATGGTTTTTGTGGTGGTGGTGGTGGTGGTAGCAGTAGCAGTAGGAGCTATGGTGGTGTCAGTGGGCTCAGCCACAGTGGTCTCCATGGTTTCCAGGATCATCTCAGCATCTTCATCCTCAGACTGGGTCTCTGTGATGTGTTCAACTGTTTTAGCAGACTGGTCTAAGAAGGAGCAGATCCAGACAGGACAGGAGAGAAAGCAGAGTTAGATCAGTCAGAATAAGTACAGCTGGATGTCTGGAGCTCTGGTGAGTCAGCGTGATGCCAGGGTCAGGTGGTCGGTCCTGCTGGCAGGTTTAAAACACTGTTCTACAGGAGCTCACGTTTAAGAACGTCTAAGGCCTTAAACTCTCCTGTCTAGGTGACCGTTCACCAATCCTGAAAGCTCTTAAAAGAAAAGAGAATTAGCTGATTTCTACATCTCTTTATAGATGAGTTCATGAAGAACGTAAATGAATTTCCTTCTCTCTAGAAGGCAGATGATTCATCTTCCTCTAATGAACCTCGTTGTAGACATCAATAAATAACAGTGAGAGAACATCCAAACAGCTGTGGCGTCCAGGGACTGGAGCTCCAAGCGTTAGTCCAGGAGAGCTGGAGGTCTGGAGCTCCTGGTGATGACGTGGTTCTGATGGTGACTTCAGTCATCAGCTTCTCTGAACCTGGGGGGATTCTGAGAATTCCTCATGGATGGACATTTGAGAAGAGGACTAAGGACAGCAGAGACCATGAAGAGTAGAACATCAGCCTGTGTTTCGCCTGCCCTTCAGAAATGTTTCGTTACTTAAACATTCTCATTACTATTTCAAGTCCAGACTTTATCTCTCACGCCTGCAAATAGACCTTCAGTTTGGGCTGAACCCCGTGGTGCCCAGGCTGACGCTACCTCCAGCTCATTTCCCTCTGTCGGGACTCCTCATAGCCCATCCAGGGCCGTTAGAACATGGGCCTGGTGGCTAACAGGACTGAGGTGGAGACGATCAGAGAAAGGAGCAGTTTTGTAAAAACTGAAGTTTTAGAAGACGTTTACAACTTTTAACAGAAGTTAAACTAAGTGAAGCTTTCTCTGGTGGACTCTGGTGGTTCGGGGTCCAGATGTTGTATCAAAGGCCATCTCAGACTGGACTAAGCTGCCAGGCAGATGTTCAGAGAGGTTCCAGCACCGCATCTCTCCACATGGCCTCCATAAATCTGCTAGAAAAACTCTTTTATTTCTACTGTTTTTCACTCTGATCTGTTTGGTTTGGAGTTAGTTTATGGATACGAAATAAATTTACAAACTAATTACAGGAGAAACCAGCTGTAATGTGGAGCTGCTGAGAGACGGCTATATGAAGCATCAGCTGATTGTTGGTGGATGAAGCATCCGTTTGTCGTTAAGCACACATGGGATGCACATTTTAGAAACTCTATTTAACCCAATAGATCAAAGACTGTTTGAATAACTGTTGATATTGTGATAAAGTCATTTAAAGAGGGGCGTTATTCCTCCTGATTTGTCACACGTGTACAACATTCCAGCTGCATGACTCTTGGATTTATATTCTGTGTTTAGTAAAACACGTCTGATGTGGATTGGATGTATTACCTGTAAATACATTTATACTCACATGTATACAATGGATATAAAAATCTAAAAGTGTAAAATGTTTAAAAGGAAAAATGCAGATGTATGCAGCTTGAAGTCACCTGATTTCTGAAGCACACGAGGTATTGTTCGTCTGTGCAGGGTGACACGTTCCTGCTGGATCTACTCCTTACCATTAATTCATTAAGTAAAATGAAACGTTAAACACATCTTATGGTGCTGCCCTCCAGACAAGGCTGCCTACTCTCACTAAACGAGTGTGAGACACACACTTTCACACGGCACCTCCAATTTCTCCAGCTGAAAAACAAAGTTCATCCAGGAGGTCGCGCACCATTAAGACCTGCTTCTCCTCTAAACTCACAAAGATATTGTCTGTTGACAATTTGGACTGAGGTTTTATTCAGAGATCCATCAGAATGTCTGTTGTCTGCCTGCAGGCACCGTTACTGGTCTGGGACCCGGAAACATTTTAGGTTAGATGATGTGTTGGTGTCGTAACGTTTGTGCAGCACTAAAGCACTCAGATGACATTCTGCTCTAACAGTGGTTTATTGGACTAGTCCAGTATTCACTATTATCATCACAATATTCATGAACCATTACCATGTTTAGAAATGTTTTCCGATGTTTCATAATAATTCCTAATAATGAGTCTATCTCTTTGGGAAAAAACGCATTTCTTTTGTCAGGAACAAGAATTCAGCGAGATGAGAGGAGAGCTTCAGACGACAGGATCTGGAGTCTTACTTCCTGATATCGGACATCTCACCTCTGATTGGATAACAGCAACTTGCCTCTACCACTGACTCTGTTTGCTCTGCACCACTGATGTTTTATCTCCAACACTAACACAAGCCTGGAAGAGTTCTGCTGTGTGGTGGAGTTGCTAATGCTAATGGTTAGCTTCTACTAGCTCATGCTCTGCTCTCTCCTGAACACTAAACCAACAACAGTGTTCCTTGTCACAAGGAAACAGGGGTGAGTCCAAGAATGTTATTAGGGAGTTTAAGTCTCCCCCTGCAGTCGGCTCATAAGTTCCCCGACTGAAAAATAATAAAGCAAATTATTTTCTAAACCACTTTGCCTTACGCCCTGAATCACACATATGCTGTACTTCAATTTGAGATCTCAGGGGTGAGGTGATGCTCACTCCTCACCCCTGCCACGTGGACCTCAAGGGATAAACATCAACCCTGTTCATTGGTCAACTTTCCTGGCAGGGTCACCCATGAAGACAATGGGAGGGAAACTTTTCTCTCTTGAAGGATTTGTTGTACACATCACATAATACCGATACTTGGTTAACCCCAAGATACACCTGATTGTGCAAAGTAAATGGCCTGTATTTGATGTAGCGCCTTCTAGAGTCCTGGAACCCCCCAAGGCGCTTTACAACACAATCAGGCATTCACCCATTCACACACACATTCACACCAGTGGCGGCTCCAGAAATGTTTTTCTGCAGGTGCTATGAAGGAGCTAGTCTTTTTATTGAGGGTGCTATGAAGGAAGTGGTCATGCGTACCTATTGTTCTCTAAAACACCTTCAACACTAGCAGATACACAAGCGTGCACAAAACCTCAACAACACCTGAAACAATCATTAATATACATCACAAACATATGAACAATCGCTGACTTTTCCATGAAATCATAAACACATACAGCCACACAGAAAACCATCTATAGTGTTGCAAGGTTAGCTAACGTTAGTGTTAGCATTTCCAGCGGCTAAACCCTGGACTGCTGCAGCGCCGTCGACTCTCTTCATCCAGATCCGTAGGTTTTTGTGGGTCTGAGATCCACGTCCAAATATTCTTTCCTTTCTGACTGAACCCGTGGAAATGTGGGCAACAAAAACCGATCCATTTCACCACTAGCTCTACCTTTCACTCGTTCACAGGTGGAAAATGAGGTCAAAGGTTAACATCAATTTCCTTTTTTGGTTTAAGTTTTTATAATAATAATAATAATAATAATAATAATAATAATAATAATAATGCACTGAACTTATATAGCGCTTTTTTAGACCCCCAAAGATGCTTTCACACACTCTCACATTCACACACTGCTAGTGATGGTAAGCTACTTGTAGCCACAGCCGCCCTGGCGAGGTCTGAAAGAGGCGAGGCTGCCATTTGGCGTCGTCGGCCCCTCTGACCACCACCAACACAGGCAAGTTGGATGAAGTGTCTTGCCCAAGGACACAACAGCAGGATACCCCTGGCGGGAGCTGGAATCGAACCCATGACCCTCCGATCATGAGGCAACCCGCTCTACCACCTGAGCTACTGCTGCCCCCTTTACTATCTATATGAATATTTACTGATTATTTTTGTTTTGTATGTTAAATATTATCACATCCACACGTTAGATTAAAATTAAATTGTAAAAACAAATCTAATATTTTCTTGGGGGTGCAATGACTAATCCAGGGGTAGCTATAGCGCCCCCTAGCAGCCCCCTGGCGCCGCCACTGATTCACACCCTGGTGTGCAGGTGCAAGTTCAAAGCCAGTCGTTGGCCAGAAAAGTGGTTTGGTCGTCCGCTCCTAGTGTTGAAGGTTTTTACTCTGAAAACGTAGAAGAGAACATACACATTGCTCTGATGTTTAGATCATTGGCTCATGCTCCATTTCAGGCCTCCAGAGGCTGTAAAGAAAACAAAAAGCAGTTCTTTATCTGAACATCTGAATGAGCCTCCTGATCTTTTCTGGGGAAAATCCTGACCCAGCATGCAGGCTTTGAGCTCATCCATGTCAGACCAAATCTGGGCTGTCGGTCTTCCCATTGTAGCGCTGATCCTGAAGCGTTCTCATGCTTTTGAGTTGGCTGCTTATATGTGTCTTTCTGTCCTGATTCTCTAGCATTTATTAGATTTTCTGTGCATTTAAAAGTTTTTTATGGTGCTAGCCTTTTCAGGCTGAGCAGAAGAACAGGTGCAGAGATTTAATAGGATGGCCGGTCTGTTAGATTCACATCAACGGCAGAACATCCCTTCTGACAACATTACGTCCATCTGCCCTCTTCAGACCTATTCACTCATCTAGACTCAAAGGGGACTGGAAAGAGTCAGGACATGTTTTCTCTGCTATGGTGAGTCTCCGTTTCAGGGGTGAAGCAGAAGCATGTCATGGACGAGACGGGACTGCTTTCAGACCACATTCCATTAGCTCCTGGCAGTAAAGGGTTCACATTTCCTGCTCATTACACTGACCAGCAGCCAGTCCCTCATTAGACCAGCTACAAAGCATGTGAGCACCACCGTCTATCGTGTTCTTCACAGTTTAGAGAACAACTCAGATATAACGCATCACAGGTTTCTTGCCTTTTTTTATAGCGTCACTGTGAATAAACTCCAGAATATTCTAGAAGGATCAGATAGATTAGATTGAATTACAAAGTCCTTCTTTGACATAAAAATGAATTATATAAAAAAATCATCTTTGTTTGTAAAGAATATAGTGTCCCAAGTTAGGTAGCGCCACAATGTCCAGGAAACTCCCCAGACCTCAATCCCACTGAGAACTTGTGGTCCAACCTCCAAAGGCAGGAGAGCAAACACAACAGTGATGATGAAGAATGAGCTCCTCCATCAGTCAGCATCTGGACCAGCAGCTGGTTGCCAGCAGGTCAGGGTGAACTGTAGGGGTCTAGAAAGACCAACTCTGAAGATACGGACTGTTTCCATCAGCAACCTGCTCGGATGTTCTGATGAATGTGTGTTCTTTGGGCTCAGAGGAGATCACTAAATAAACAAATCAGGGTCATTTTTATCACACAGAAGTGGGCGAACATGTGAGATCATAAATTCAGCTCATGGATGTCAACTCTTTAGTAACATCCCACTTAGACTTGGAAGTCTGGGATGGTCTGAAGGAATCCCATAGCCCTCACCTGCTCGTTGTCCATCTTCATCCTTCTTAGAGGCCTTGTAGTAGGTCATGCTCTTCACCACACCTGGCTGATGGCCTCCCACCTTAACTTTAGCTGTTGGATTGGGTTTTACTGGTTTTCCAGGTTTAACAACCTCTTTTTTTGGCTTCACTGCCTTTTCTTTGTTGGGTTTGGGAAGGGGACTGGCAACTGGAGTCTTTTTGTTTGGCACCTTCAAAGTCTTGGTTTTCACATCACGAGTGTCCTGCAAAGACACATGCCAGCAAATGTGGCAAGAGAAGAAGATGCCAGATTGATAAAAACTACTATTTCATACAAAAGATGCAGTCATGTCCAGCAGTGATTCCTATCCACAGGTGCATACCCCCTAGTGGTCCGTGAGCACATTACGGGGGTTCACCCAAAAGTTAATATTTCGTTACCCAGACGACAACAACATTTGGTGTGCCATGGTAAAAACAGAACATCGGGCTGCGATGTGTTATGCTTAACGAATGCTCAAATAAACTGATGCACATTGATATATGGTTGATATGATGTTACCAATTATCAGTTCAGGCCAATATCGACTGTGTATCAATTCTGTCAAGCTGTAGCAGCTTTGGACTAGAGGCGAAGTGGATTAAAGAGATTACGGACCTGGTTTGGGTTTTAGGACCTGATGCTGAACAGAGAAAAATCCTCAGTAAATAATTCTGGTGACAGTGAAGTCATATCTGTGTTAACAGCTTGTTAACACGAATTCCTTTCCTGTTTTTAGCACACGATGAACTCAGAATTTCAGAACAAATAAGAACAAATTTCCATCCGCAGATGTTTCTTTCATTAATAACGCTCAAATTTTGTGCAGCATCTCTCTCTCTTTCTCTCTCTCACTGCGGCCGGTGCACGCCGCGGGTCTGACCTCTAATAACCCTAACCCTCAACCAGGGGCAGAGACAAAGGATAAACCTCCAGCCTTATTTAATACTGCCCATGAAAAACAAAGCAAAGCATCATTTTACCTGCAGTTATTCACTAGTGAAGCTTAACTTAACTTCTATGAGAAAATGAAAACCATGAAGTGATTGAATCAGGAAGAAATGTTTTTGACTTTGATAATTTTGTGTGTTCATCTAATTTAACGTTAAATATCTTTATCCTTATTCGTTTTATTAGGATTTTTGTGTTGCATTGTTTGGAGAACGAATCACAACGCAACATAAAAACTACTTGAAATGTAGAATGTTTAGAAGTATTTGTTCTGCTGGAATTCAAATGGTGTGAGAATGTAAAAATAAACTGTCATTTTGACATCAATGAATAAATAGAAGAACATAATATGATATGATGTAGATCTTAGGCCATGCAGCTCATTCTTACCCAAATGAATAATAAACCAGCTTTTATCAAATGCCCTCCTGTCCTGCATGGTTTCCATGGCCGTTACTTGTCCAAACTTGTGTACTAACGTCTTTGTGAAAAGTCATCAACGACGGCCCAACGACTGTTCCAATCCTAAGTATGCATAATGGCAAGTTTGCTCAGGGTCCCTGGATGTATTCTTGCTCCGCCCATTGATGCATTCTTCTGCGGACTTGGGACAGCAAAGTTTCTCACAATGCATTGCGTCGCAAAAACATCTAAATGTCAGAGGAGAAAGCTAATAACTGTAATGTTTTATATTAGAAATGTAAGTTCAATAATATAAAGTTGTCTGTTATTGTAAATAATCGTGAGCAAACTGTAAATTTTGCTGTGTGTGTTTGGGTTTTACTCTTCACGATCCTTTAAACAGCTAATTAGCTAACCCACTATCAAAATAAAAGCATCGTAGCTCTGTTCTGATGAAAAATAAAGTGTTTTTATCCATTAAAGAGCGGGAAATATGAGTATTTAATAGTTTTGATCAAAGGTGGGTCAAATATAATACAAATAATACATTTTTGTTGTTATTTTGTTATTTAAGGAACAAAGTAGACTATTATTTTTATGTCAGGTCGTTTTTTAACTGTTGCAAGAAGCAACGCTTGTTGCCAGGGCACAACAGAGTACGGTTCTGTTCCAAATGCTGTCCTCATCCTCCCCTACTCAGTAGAACAGACTTTCTGGTGTCCTTGCCAAGAAGATACTTTTCTAGTACACAAGAACGTACTTTTCTAGTACACAAGAACGTACTAGCATCCTTGAGTGTTGAGAAATTACCCATGTGTCTGTTTCACATGGGCATCTGTCTGACTTCCTTATCATATCTGCAGCGCCTCATCAGGAGGACATCAAGTGCTGCAGAAACCTGAAACTCACTCATTCATTTAGATAAGTGGTGTGGCAGCAGGGTAACACCTAAAACATGAAGGACCCGGGGGGGGGGGGGGGGGGGGGACCAGGATAGGAAACACTATGAAGGAAAAACCAGAGCAGGGCTGCAGCTGCTACTGAGAGAGGGTCTGCCTCATTCACACACACACACACACACACACACACACACACACACACACACACACACACACACACACACACACACACACACACACACACACACACACACACACACACACACACACACACACACACACACACACCTATCTACAGTTACACATTCGGATCCATAACTTTAAAGGCTCTGTTGAGATTTTCTGTGTCTGAAGCTAACTGGTTTTCACTTTCAGCTCAGTCGGGGTCTACAGACCTGCGCAGTCTGACCTCACACAGACTGAAACTCCAGTTTTTATGAACTCACAGGATCCTTAAGTATGCTTTCACTGTCCTTCTTCAGTCAGACAAACATGCAGCTGTGTTTTAACACCGTTAACTACCGATCTAGACTCTAGAAGTTTGCAGAAACGTTGTTGTGTTCAGAAAGTGATTTTTGGTTGATTGGGGGCGGGAGTGCATCAGAACAGAAAACAACATCTACAGCAACATGATGATGTTCACTGTGGTGCCTCAGACCTGAGCTTTGTTCTCTGAGGAGTCCTTCTGCAGCAGCTGTAGGCTGAGACTGGAGATTTCCTTCTTGATGCTCATCATGACACTTGAGTAGTTCTCATAACGCTTGAACTGGTTGGTAAGGCTCATCAAGCTGTCCCGCACAAATTCATTGTCTCGTGTAAGATTTGTCTTGATCGTCTGTAAATAAAACCACAAACATTTATGCCTCTATATCACCCATGTCCTGATAAACATTCTCCAAACATCTCTTGACTAGGGGTGGGAATCGAAAACCGGTACTTGTTGAGAACTGTGTCCAATTGTTTCAATTCCTAGGAATCGTTCGCCACCTTTGCAAACGATTCCCCTTATCAGTTCCAGTCGGCACAAATGACTTCACCACTCACGTTGCGTAGCTTACAGAAGCAAGAAACAAGGCGTCTATGCGGCACATATATATTTTATAAGAAACGGTGTCAACAGGGTTACTTGCAACAATTGGAAAGTAGATGTTTCATCAAAGGAAGGAAAGTTAGATAACTTAGAGTTAATGTTGTGTTTAACCCGCTCTGGACTGGTGAATTTCAACGCAGCAGCAGCGGTGACATTTGCACGTCTTCTCCTGTTAATACTGCAGGTAACTGATCAACTAACACTGCCTATCATGCTAGCGTCGTTAGCCGCATATGCACACCTCCACACTAGCAGACTCCAGCGACTACAGTCTGATCTGTGGTGAGACTTTTCCCACTCTGCAGCAGCAACACTGCACCGAACAAGAAGACGACTCTGCCTTCACATGGATCTTTCTAACCGACACAGGTACAACTGGTTACTTATCATAAATAAACTGACACTTATAATGCAGGAGGTCGTGTGCCGTTAGATTTTTCCACCTGTTGAACTTCTCTGGAATTGATAAGGAATTAGACTGATGGACTGAATCTACTACACCACTGATGTTGATAACAACTTAACAATTCCCACCCCTACTCACGATCCTCAGACTCTGGTTAGAAGCAGTGGGTGTGTTTACCTCCTCTAGAGTGTTCATCTGAGAGACCACCTTGTTAATGTAGGAGTGGATCTTCAGCAGATCCATGCTGTAGAGGGTTCCCTCAAGAAGGTCCACCATCGACTGGAGCTGGTTATTCAGGTCATAGAAAGAGATGACAACGCATTATTCATGTCCTAGTCCCATAGCATCTAGACCCAGACCATCTAGACTCAGAACATCCAGACCCAGACCATCTAGACTCAGAACATCCAGACCCAGACCGTCTAGATCCAGACTATCTAGACCAAGAACATCTAGACTCAGAACATCTAAACCTAGAAAATCTACACCCTGAACATCTATACTCAGGACATCTAGACTCAGAACATGTAGACCCAGATCATCTAGACCCAGAACATGTAGACCCTGGACATCTAGATCCAGAACATATAGACCAAAAACATGTAAAACCAGAACAAATAGAGCAATAACATCTAGACTTAGATTATCTAGACCCAGAACATATAGACCCAGAACAAATAGACCCATAACATCTAGACCCAGATTATCTAGACCCAGAACACCTCGACCCAGAAAATCTAAATCCAGAACATCTAGACCCAGATGATCTAGTCCCAGACCATCTAGACCCTGAACATCTAAACCCAGAACATATGAGGTGTTTGTCAATGTCAAGCAGTCTGGCCTTGCGAGGTGATGTCTTGAGACCAGGCGCCTTGCTTACGAGGACGCTGTCCTTCCTTGGTCAAAGAAAACGATTAAATGGAACGGACTTGCGCGGCTTCCACGGCGGTCATGTAATGTCACGTGACAAGGGAAATAACGTTATTTTTATAGGTATTAGTATCAATATAAATATATAACTAGCCTTAAACTTTTAAATTGTGTATATATTTGTTAAATTCAAAATATAAGTGAGTTACTACCCGCTAGCCACCGAAGCTGCAACTACTAAGCAACTAAACAACCATAGATGACTTCTTTGGATTAAAAAAAAAACATTTTAAATTAGTTGACTTACTTTTTTACTTGAAATTTTCCCCAAAAGTAGCTGCCGACTTCTAATCCGCCATCCTTTTGAAAATACTGCGGTGTGTTCAGGATAATTTTTGACCATGATTAGGCTACAAGACACCTCTTGTGTATCCTCGCTCAGCTAGCTAAATGACTAACAAACGGAGAACACACGCCTCGGTAGAACATGAACATTGGAACATGTCTTGGCGGCCCCCGATGACGTAACTCCTAGGCAACTTGGGCGGGGCCAAGACATCAAGGCAAGGTTCCGTGGTATTGAGAAACACCCCTAGACCAAGACCATCTAGACCAGGGGTGTCAAACTCATTTTAGCTCAGGGGCCACATTGAGGGAAATCTATTCCCAAGTGGGCCGGACCGGTAAATAAAAAAAAAAAACTTCAGATTGTTTTCTTTGTTTTAATACAATCAATATGAAACAAGGCTGGAGCCTGAAGACAGTGTAGTACAAGTACAACACCTGAAGCGTACTTGAAAATTTGAAAAAAAAAAAAATCAGTACATAATAACAAATTCCTTAGTGATTCAAAGAGCTTACAGATCACATGGCAAGATCAGTTTCATGCAGCACTTTAAGTATATTTGACTCATTTTACTTTACATCTTTTAGCTTTCACCAGCACATCAATATCAGAAGTCACATCCTGAGTGGCGGCCAACTTCAGGATGGGATTCAAGTTCTTGTGTGAGCCTTGAGCGCAGCTTTGTTTTATTTATACTCATTACAGAGAAAACTTGCTCACAAAGATAAGTTTATTTTCACTCTACATTGTAAAGTATGAAAATAAAGTTTTCACAACCATCTCGCGGGCCGGAGTTAACCCGCTTGCGGGCCGCATCCGGCCCGCGGGCCGCATATTTGACACCCCTGATCTAGACCCAGAACATGTAGACCCAGAACATCTAGACCCAGAACATGTAGACCCTGAACATCTAGACCCAGAACATGTAGACCCCTCACCTTTAGCAACTCAGGAGCCTGCTTCTTCAGCTTCTCCATCTTCCACTCATTTTCACAGGGGTTGAGGGAAGAGGGCGGAGTCGTGCAGGAGCACTTGCAATCCGATCCAGAGCTGACTGTCTCTACGGTATAGAAGTCCTCCACTCTCACGCTGCCACTCCGCAGTCGAAGGCAGGCATCCTTGCTCAGAGGACGCATGATGCACTTGCAGCGGCAGTCGGAACCTTCAGACGTCATGCGAACCGGCTCGGTCTCCCCAAAGATCTGTAAGAGAGAGACCAGATCCATCCTCTGAGATGTAAGGTCACATGTAGACCCAATACCCTAAAGAGCTGAATCTGATCTCTGTAAGAGTGTGGGGGTGCTGTGGGTCTGTGAGGGTGCTGAGGGGGCTCCCCTTAGCAGCCACTGAATTGGAACCTGTTTATAGCACAAGTACATTCTAAAAGCATGGCGTAGAGATATCTCTACATTATCCAAACACAGCGTTAAGATGCACCAGAGGGTGTGAAATAAAGAGTTCTGTTCCTTCCTCCACAAATACAACTTGAGGAGATTTTTTCAGCCATCCATGATGGGAAGGAAAGTGATTTACAAAACTAAACACATGCTTCCTGTTCTTTTGAATGTTCACTGGTGTGACTCAGAGGAAAACCTCTGAAAAAAAAAAACCTCCCTCGCTCATCCACCAGCTGCCTCCGGGCTACCATGTACGATGACGGGGGCTTTGGCAGGCCGTGACTCTTCTCAGAAACAGGATGGCACAGGCTGCTCTACACGCCTCTCATCCAAGAATTTGGGCAGACAGATTTATTATATCACCCAGAATAAAGAAAGTGTTCAGGCTGGGATGAGTTCTGCTGGAGAACTCCTTAGATTTCTCCAATTTCCTCTGGGTTTATGTCCCAGGCTGAACTCTCCTCTGAACTCTGATAAGTTGCAACTGCTAATAAACATTTCTGTGCTTTACTGTTAATGATGTGGAACACTCGTTAACTCAATACATCTGCAGTGGTCTCTAGCAGGAATGAATGCCTTGTAAGTTGTATTCTGGGGGGAAAAAGCGCTGGCGCACCTGTTTCAGGAACTAGAAGTGAGCCATATCAGAGATGAGATTCAGACGGTAGGATCTGAAGGCAAATTCCCTAATATTTTAACATCTCTCCTCTGATTGAATAACAGCAACGTAGTTCTACCACTGACTCCATTTGTTCTGGAACATTGGTGTTGTCTCTCCACAAATAACACAAGCTTGGAGGAGTTCTGCTGTGTGGTGGAGTTGCTAATTCTAACAGTTAGCTTCTACTAGCCAAGACGTTTTCTGCTGTTTCCTGGATGCTAAACCAACAACAGCCTTCTGAGTCGTGAGTCAAGATGGGTAAGTCCATGAATGTTAAGTGACAGTATGATGTAGATCTGTCAGGACTTTCTAATCCTAGAGTTTCTATTTTCTATCGGAGGCTAATGCAGGAGATAGGTGCAGGCAGGGGGGCTGCCAGAGATTTTGGGCCCCAAGAAAATATATCACGTTGGGCCCCCTGGCGGCTCGTCCATAGGGGGTGCTTTGGCTCCGCCCTCCCAGATGTGAAGGGAGAAAAAGTAAAAAAATATATATATATATACTTTGTATTAGTGTTTAAGTTTAGCTTAATTAAGTATGTCTACATGTATTCTTACTCATTTACACATCATTTTCACCAGTTGTCTCTTAAACTGTAATATTCCTTCAACAGAATTAGCAACATCCCTCCTCATCATCTGAGCTCTCCCACTCTCTCCCTTCTTCCTTTACTTCCAGTCTTCATCCTGACCAAACCTGACATTAGGAGAGTCCAGGCTCTGTACATGATGCACATGATATATGTGTTACAATCTAGGCAGCCATTTGTGATAAAATCATCATCAGAGTTACAACAGTCTTTAAAATTAATGCACACCAGGGAAAAAGCAGCACAGACTCCAGCAGGATATTAGCTGTAGTTCTCCATCATCAACACTAGAATTCATATTTCATTGTGTTCAGTGTTATTATATGAAGTTTATTTATTACGATTATGAAACGATTTTGTTTCTTTTTTGATCTGTGATTTTTGGTTTGTGTTTTAAACAATACATAAACAAATTACACCTTTAAAACCACCCATTTTTCAGGCAGCTTAAAACATTTCATTTTAAGGTATTTAGTAGAAGAAGAGGGTTTTTCTCTTATGGCGCCTTCAAAAAGGCACTTCACGGTAATAGTAATCTCACAGTAATTTCTGTAACATTAACAGACCAAATAACAATGCTTCATCCTGCCCAGCAGCCAAAACCACCTGTACATTTGTACTGATTGATTTCTATAATTCTCACGTGGAAAAACAATGTGCTTACCACCAAAAATAGCCTTTTTCTATTCCTTTGTAGTACGGATAGAGGAAAGAGACAAAATGAGTCCCACAGACCCCCTTTACTGCTAGCTAACATCACCTTCTTGAGGTTCATTGAGTTGTGAGGAGACACTTGCTGACATATCATCAGCTGCTTCTGGTTGGGACAAGGACAACAACCCATTTACCATAACTAGTTGAAACATAGTTCCTCTCACTGTGGATATCAAAGCTAGCAAAAAGGTTGAATTTAACCACTCAAATTAATTTGTCTAAAAAAAGTAGAGACCTCTGAACAAATATACATTTCATTAGGACAAAAAGATTGTATGTTTAATAACTTATACTACAAAAAATACTGCTAAGTAAAGTACTTATTGATTTTTAAACTTTTTTTAAAATTCAAGTATGAAACTTTTTTGCACCCCTGACAGCCATGGGCCCTTAGAATCATCCTAACCTTTCCCCCTTTATGGCGCCCCTGGGTGTAGGAGACAATTTTCACAATCAGCCTGCATGAAAAACTCAGAGTAACAGAATAAAATCAGAAATAATCATTAAAACCTGTTTTTTCAGTGTTCGACACCTTTAACATATTCTTACGGCAGCTTTCCTTCAGATATTGTGAGATGAAGTTTAGCTCAGGGATCTTCTAGTGCAGCTCTGGGGCCAAATGTGTCTCTTCAGTCCCTCAGAGAGAACTTCTTTAACATCCACCTGACTCAGGTGACCTGAGTGATGTTCATGAGGAAAGGATTGTTTTAGCAGGATGACACTAATATTATAAGCTGTTGTGTTTATTGGTTTCAGAACCAGAACCTACATATGTTAACAAAGTATGTTTTAAAAGCAGAGATCAGGTTTACTGCTCAGCTGCTAGTTTGATAACTCCCGACACAACTCTTCTACAGTTGGACGTCTTTGGAGAAAAAGTTTACAATAAGGACATACAATATGACAAACTAAAACCACAGAGCTAGAAAATTACAGAAAAAAAGTATTGTTTGTTAAAATTTGGTACCTCTGAGTTATTTTTGATAGTTATTTACACATGTTACACAAGCAACTTTTCCTATTCTATAGGTTTGTCTCTAAAGCAACTTAATGTTTTATCTTATTAACTAATTGATCTGATCATTTGACCCAATGAAAGGATATGATAAGTGATAAATGATAATTGATGAATTACCCGCACTTGTATAACACATTTCAATGTCAGAGGACTCCAAAGCGCTTTACATTATAGTGTAAAGCAGTGTGTGACCTGCTTTCATCCGTTCACACACACACATTCACACTCTGGTGGGGACGAGCTACAATGTAGCCACAGCTGCCCTGAGGCACACTGAAGGAGGCGAAGCTGCCGAGCACAGGCATCACTGGTCCCTCCAACCATCACCAGCAGGCTGGGTGGTCTTGACCAAGGACACAGTAGCAGAATTCTCGGTCCAGAGCCGGGATCGAACCTGAAACCTTCCGATTAACGAACAACCCGTTCAATCTCTTGAGCTATACAAGGATACATAAGTAAAGTGTACTGGACCAAGCACCAAACCCAATCAGAAAAAGTAAGACTTGAACCAGCTTGCCAATGTTCCCTTGATCCCAGTATTACGTTCAAGCATTTTGGTCAACACGGCCAATTATTGTGCTGCGATTTACCATTCAGCATAGACACCAGGGGCCTCATTTATAACTCTTTGCTTACAATCCTCACTAAAACTACTTAAGCTCAGCATAAAGTACTTACACAAAGTATTTTTCCGATCTATAAAACACTGCATACACACAGCTGCACGCAGTTCCTGTTTTATAAATCACAATCTTTCTATAACTGTGCTCAGGTGTTTCTGGAAATACTTAAATGATACTGCCCATATAAATAAACTGAATGGTTGATTGCAATCACAAGTAGGGGTGCTCCGATTGATCGGCCACAGATAATTATCGGCCGATTTTCCTGCAAAAGTGTGTGATCTGTGATCGCCGATCACTGCCTTTCATTTCCGATCTGGCGCTGGCGCTTACTCTTCCCGGCCGGTAGTTCACCCTTCCGCTTGTCCCCGCTTAGTGCGCATGCGCATGGCGGCAGACCCGCAAAGACAAACATGTCTGCCGTGTGGAACTTCTTTACGGTGTGCAAGAGTGATATTAAGTTTGCGTCTTGCAACACTTGCAACGAAAACATACCCCGCGAAGGAAGCACTTCAAAAAAATTCAACACAACGAATTTGATCTGACATTTAAAGACCAAACACTTGGCGGAGCATGGTGAGTTTTTGAGGCTCACCGCAGACAAGGAAAAGAAGCCTGCTAATGCAGCCACAGTCAGACGGCAGCTAACGCAGCCGACGCTTGGAAACACTCGCCCATATGAGCGTGACAGTCAAAAGGCTAAGCAAATTACCCGTAAAATCATCGAGTTTATTGGACTAGACGACCAGCCTTGTTCAGTTGTGGAAGACGCCGGATTCCGCCGACTACTAGCCCACTTGGAACCTCGCTACATGCTACCGGGACGTAAATATTTCGCCGACGTAGCCCTTCCAGAGCTCCACCAGACAGTGTATTCTTTCATCGAGGGACCCCTTAAAGAAAGCGTCTCATCCTCTGTGAGTTTCACGAGTGACATTTGTAGCTCAGATGTCAGTCCTGTGTCAATGCTGAGCTTAAAGCTCACTGGATGTATCTGAATGTATCCTTGGTTACTTAATTTGATTTAGGCGGTGATGTGATATTGACTTTTTTTGCACTATTTGTAGCCTAAAGAGAGCCTTAATGTTTTCAATTTCTTATAAATTGTTACTGATATTACATAATTTGAAGTGAAGTAAAACCATGTTTTTTCTGAATTAATATGTAACACATGCATTAGAACTCACCATAGCTAAATGA